TATATATATAGAATATATGCAAAAGGAAATGAGAAGAGAATTTAACAGTTGTACTAAAATCAACTAAATACCAACGAAGACAGAAATGTAGGAAATGAAGGACAAAAAAGCTATAAGGCATATAGAAAACATATACAAATTGGCAGAAGTAAGTCCATCCTTATCAGAAATTACATGATATGTAAATAGCTTACACTCTCCAATCAAAAGACAGAATTTGGCATAATGGATAACAACTATAAAAACATGATCCAACTATATACTGTCTTATAAGAGACATACTTAAGATCCAAAGACACAAATAGGTTGAAAGCAAAAGGATGGAAAAAGATAGTCCTTGCAAATAACCAAAAGAGAGTGGGGGTGGCTATAATAATATTAGACAAAATAGAGTTTAATTCAAAAGATTACAAGAGACAAGGAAAACATGATATATTAATAAAAGATTCAGTACAAGAAGATATAAAAATTATTCATGCTACATATCTAATAACGGACCCTAAAAATATATGAAGCAAATATTGACAGAATTAAAGGAGATATAGACAAATCTACACTGATAGTTGGAGACTTCAGTCTCCTACCCTCGGTAATGGATAGAACAACCAGACTGAAGATAAGTAAGGAAAGAGGACTTGAAGAACACAATAAATCAACTTGATCTAACAGACATATACAGAACATTCTACTCAAGAAAAACAGAATATACATTCTTCTCAAGTGCACATGGGACATCCTCCAGGATAGATCATGTGTTAGGCTACAGATTAAGTCTCAATAGATTTAAAATGACAGATATACAAAATATCTTCTCCCACTACAATGGGGTAAAGTTAGAAACCAATAACAGAAAGAAAACGGAAAAATTCCCAAATATGTAGAAATTAAACCACACACTCTTAACCCACAGATCAGAGAAGAAATCACAAGGGAAATTAGAAAATATTCACAGACAAATGAAAACAAAATACAACATACTAAAACTTACAGGATGCAGCAAAAGAAGTCCTAAGAGGGAAAGTTAGAGCTGTAACCACTTATACTAAAAAAGAGGAAAGATCTCCAGGCAACAAGCTAATTTTGCAACTTAAGGAACTAGGAAAAGAAGACTAAACCCAAACTTAGCAGAAGGAAGGAAATAACGAAGATTGGAGCAGAGTTAAATAGAGAATAGAAAAATAATAGAGAAAATAAACAAAACCAAAAGAAGATTACCAAAATGTACAAAACCTTTGCAACTTTCACTAAGGAAACAAGAAGACTCAAATTACTAAAATCAGAAATAAAAGTGGGGACATTACTGCTGATTCTGCAGAAGTAAAAGGATTGTAAGAGAGTGTTATGAACAATTGTACACCAACAAACTGGATGACCTAGGTGAAATGGAAAACTTCCTAGAAACATGAAACCTCTCAAGACAGAAGTGTGAGAAATAGAAATTCTGAAGAGAGCAGTAAGGAGATTGAATCAGTAATTAAAAACCTCCTAACAAAGAAAAGCCCTGGACCTGATGGCTTCACTGGTGAATTCTACCGTACATTTAAAGAAGGGCTAACACCAATTCTCAAACTTTTCCAAAAAAAATTGAAAAGAGAACACTGCCTAACTCATTCTATGAGGCCAGCTTTGCTTTGATACCAAAGCCAGACAGAAACACTAAAGAAAATTACAGACCAATATGTCTTATGAACATTGGTATAAAAATCCTCAACACGATACTAGCAAACTGAATTCAACAGCATATTAAAAGAATTATACACCATGACCAAGTGGGATGTATTCCTGCACTGCAAGGGTGGTTCAACATATAAACACCAATGAGTGTAATATACCACATTAATAGGTTAAGGAAAAAAAGCATATGATCATCTCAATTGATGCAGAAAAGCGTTTAACAAAATTCAACACCCTTTTGTGATAAAAACACTCAACAAACTAGGAATAGAAGGAAACTGCCTCAACATAGTAAAGGCCACATGTGATAAACACAAGGAGCATACTCCATGGTAAAAGACTGAAAGCTTCCTGTAAGATCGGGAATAAGACAAGTATGCCCACTTTTGCCACTTCTGCTGAACATAGTATTGGAAGTTCTAGCCAGAGCTAGTAGGCAAGAAAAAGAAACAAAAGGCATCTAAATTGGAAAGGAGGAAGTAAAATTGTCTGTTTGCAGATGTCATGGTCTTATACATAGGGAAGATTCCAGACACAAACACAAAAACCTGTTAGAATTGTAATATACAAATTCCACATAGTAGCAGGATGGAAAATCACACAAAAATCAGTTGCATTTCTATACGGTAACGATCTGAAATGGAAATTAACAAAATAAATTCCACCTGCGATAACATCAAAATAAAATACTGGGGAATTAACTTAAGCAAGGAGGTGAAAGACTTGTACATTGAAAACTACGAAACATTACTGAAAGAATTAAAGAAGACAGAAATAAATGAAAAGACATTGTGTGTTTATGGATTGGAAAACTTAATATTGTTAAGATGACAATAGTACTCAAACTGCTTCAATGTAATCCCTATCAAAATCCCAATGACTTTTTTTTTGTCGAAATAGAAAAAATTCATCTTAAAATTCATATGGAATCTCAAGGGACTCTGAATAGCCAAAACGATCTTGAAAAAGAAGAACAAAATTGGAGGACTCAAGTTCCTGATTTCAAAATTTAGTACAGAGCTACTGTAATCCAAATTCTGTGGTATCGGCAGAGAGGTAGAATTACAGACTAATGGAATAGAACAGAGAGCCCAGAAATAAACCCTCACGTATATGGTCAGATGATTTTCAACAAGAGTACCAAGACCATTCATTGTGGAAAGGACACAACTGTATATTGACATGCTAGAGAATGTAGTTGGACCCTTTCCTAATACTATATACAAAAATTAACTCGAAATGGAGCAAAGACCTTAATAGGTAAGAGCTAAAACTATAAAGCTCTTAAAAGAAAACATAGGGAAAAGCTTCATAAAATTGGATTTAGTGATGATTTCTTGGATATTACACCAAAAATCTGACAACAAAAGAAAAAATAGATCAGTTGGACTTTATCAAAATTAAAATTATTTGTGCATCAGAGAGAGATAATGTATTTGCAAACCACATATATAAGTAATTAATATCCAGAATATATAAATGACTCCTATAACTCAAAAACAACAGCAGCAAAAAAAATCTCAATTCAAGAGTAGGCGAAGGACTTGAAGAGACATTTTTGCAAAGAAGACATACAAACAGCAAGTAAGCACCTGAAAAGATGCTCACCATTACTAATCATTAGGAAGATGCGAATCAAGACCACAGTGAGAAACCACTTCACACCCGTTAGGATGGCTATTATCAACAAAACAGAAAGCAACAAGTGTTGGCAAGGATGTGGACAAGTTAGAACCCTTTTACATTGCTAGTTGGGATGTAAAATGGTGCACCCACTGTGGAGAACAGTTCATTGGTTCCTGAAAAAATTGAACATGAAATTACCATTTGATCCAACAATTCCACTTCTGGGTATTTAACCAAAAGAACTGAAAGCAATTGGTATGGTAGTGTTATTCACAATAGCTATAAGGTGGATAAAAACCCAAAGTCCATCAATGGATGAATCGTATATACATACAATCAAATATTTTTAAGCTATAAAAAGGAAGGAAATTCTGAGTACAGGCTTCTACATGGATGAACCTTGAAGACATTATGCTAAATGAAATAGGCCAGACACAAAAGGACAAATAGTGTATGATTCCACTTATTTGCAACACATAGAATAGCCAAATCCATGGAGATAGAAAATAATATGGTGGTTACCAGGATTTGCGGGGAGGAGGGAGTTATTGTTTAATGGTTACAGAGTTTTAGCATGGGATGACAGACAAGTTCTGGAGATGGATAGTAGTGATGGTTGTACAACAATATGAATGTACTTAATGCTACTGCAACGTACACTTAAAAATGGTAAAAATAGTAAAATTTTTGTATATATTTTACAGTAAAAAAAAGTGTACCGACTGCTACACCCAGTCTCTTCTGTATTCTACCACCAGGTGCCTTTGATTCCTCCCAGGTAGTCCTCCTGTCCTCATCGCGGGCTTTCTCTCTTCCTCAGCTCACAGTGTCCTCTCCTCTGCTCCCCACATGCCTCATCTGGCATATCTAGCACTTTCCTCTTCCCTTGATTCCTGCTCTTCCTTCAAGACCTCCAAGTTCCCGACCCTATCTCGTGAAACCTCTTCTGATGTCTGTCTTCTAGTGTACCCTCCATTTTGAAATAGTATTGAAATAGAGTAAAATTGGGCAGGGGGATGAGAACGGAGTGCAGAGATAAATTCGTGTACTGAGTGGCCAGGAGGTCCACCCTGAGCACCCACAGTGTGAGGCAGGAGTTTAATGGTACCCACATTTCACAGGTGAGAAGACTGAGGCACTAGTTCACTGGAAGTGGGCCCCAACCCAGGTTGGTATGGTTCAAGTCTGTGCTCTTCACCACTCCCCGCTTGTGCCTCTCAGGCCCGAGAAGGCCAGAGGGGTGTGGGATTTAGAGGAAGGACTGAGTTGTAGTTTGATCTTTGCCATTTTTGTATGAACGTCAGTCACTCAGATGCTTCAATACTAATACGGTCAGTCAGACTATTCTTTTTAAATTCTTAAAACTCGGAAGTTTGTTGCTTTACTGTTGTTTAATTTTTATATGTTGTTTGCTCTTCCCTCAGCCTGGATTTAAAGTTCACAAAATTTAGGGACTCCATTCTTTGCATGTATACCTCAAGACAGCCCACTCAGGATCTTGAATGTGTAGATTCACAAGTGTTGTTGGCCAGATAGCGACAGGGGTTGGAAGGCCTTCAAACGCATGGCGTCAGGGTTACAGACAAAGGCAAGATCTAGATGTCTCCCCTAACTCCCCCAGGCCGCCCTCTCCCTGCCCCTCACCTGAGTCATGGGCAAGGCTGGCTGCTGGGTGAGCAGGGCTGTGTTTTGTGTTTCAGGCACACATGGCATTCAGAGATGTGGCTGTGGATTTCACCCAGGAGGAGTGGCTGCTGCTGAGCCCTGCTCAGAGGTCCCTGTACAGGGAGGTGATGCTGGAGAACTACAGCAACCTGGTCTCACTGGGTAAGCCTGGCGTCTCTTAGGACTCACATTCTTGCTGCTGGGCATTTTAGGCTGTGCTTGAAGCAGCCATCTTGCTTTCTGACTTTGCCTTTCGGTTGGATTCAAAAGAAAAGACAATCTGTTCCGTTTCCCCAGGGAAGGTCTGATTTTGTAGAGATGAATTGGGTAGATCTGTGTGTGTGTGTGTGTGTTGTGTGTGCTACTCTGCATTTCTAGGCCTTTCCCCCCAGCCTCTCTGGGTAAGCATAACATCTTTTCCTAGGTTACCTTCTTTTAAATGAGGGAGGTGTTTTTCTTCCCAGCATGGAGTAGAGTCAGTGTGCTCTCATCCTAGCTCCGCTTCCCGACTCGTCCCTTCCATCGCTGACAGCTCACTATTCTCATGTCTTGTCTACCACTTTTTTAAGTTCCCCACCCAGTTTGGCACTTGAGCCTGTAATCTACAGCCACCTTGTTTTCTTTTCCTGTGAACAGGAATTCCATTTTCTAAACCAAAACTCATCACCCAGCTGGAGCAAGGGAAGGAAACCTGGAGAGAGGAGACACAAGGCCCACCAGCCACCTGTCCAGGTGAGTGGGGACACTGGGCAAATGGAGCACAGAGCTGCAGGCAGCTGAGGGGATGGGAGTGAGGAGGAGACCTCACTCAGCTGCTGGGGAGGGAAGCCATGCTCCTGGCCTCCTGGGCTGCTGCTTGCATTGCCTGGCATGGCCTCCCTTCATCCTCACTCGAGCTTTCCTGGTCTCTTGTGGCCTTCCTCCACTGGGTTTGCCCTCTCTATTTGACTCAGTTCTCTCCCACATTCATAGGCTTCTTTCTCTTGTTACTGTTTTTTTTGAAAGATGAAGTGAGAATGTGGGAAAAAAACTGAGTGAGCTAAAGAAAAAAGGCAAGCCAAATGGGAGGAAGGAAGGGTAAAAAGCCAGTTGGGAAATTGAAATGGAGTTGTAAAAAATGGAGAGATAAGAATGGATTTCACCCAGGAAGGTGTTTACTATCTGGCCATTTAAGAAGTTTGCTGAGCCCTGCTCTAAGGGATTACGATACACAGCCTTAACTTTTCTTATTCTGGGCACCACTTTGTGTAAATCATAAGAATACTGCAATTGCACAGTTCCAATTACCCCTCTCCCCCACGGGCTTTATTCGGTAGTTGTCATTTGTATTACACCAAATGCATTCCAAACTCCCTAATACGATGTTAAAATATTTGTTTTAAACACAGGTATTTTTTTTAATCAAGAGAAAAAATATTCTTTTATACTCATTCAGATAATTTACTATTTTCTATGCTCTTCATTTTTTTCTGGACATCTGAGTTTCTACCTGGTAGCATTTTCCTGCAGCCTGAAGGACTTCGTTTAGCATTTCTTGTGGTGCCAATGGCAGTGTATTCACTAGCATTCTGTTTTTCTGAATGTGTGTTTATTTCACCTTCATTCTTGAAAGATATTTTCACTGGATATAGAATCCCAGATTGTTTTTCAGCACCTTAAAGATATTGTTCCCCTGATTTTGCCTCCATTGTTTCTGATGAGAAGTCAGCTGTCTTTTCTACAATTATTACCCTGATTTTTTGTTACCTTTTTTTTTCACCCCTGGCCGATTTCAGAGTTTTCTGTCTGTTTTTGGTGTTCAGTTTGACTACACTGGGACTGCTTGGGATTCACTGAAATTTTTGAATCAATAAATTTATGACTAGAGCCAAATTTGAGAAAGTTTTGGATGTTATTCCTTCACATTTTTTTTATTCTTCATTTTCTCTCTCCCTTTGTGGGACTACGATTACATGTGTTTTAGTCCTTTTTATATTGTCACACAGGTTATTGAGCCTGTCCATATTTTTAATTTTTTTTTTCTGGCAGTTCTTCAGATTGGCTGATTTCTGTTGATCCGTCTTCAGGTTTACTGTCTCATCTGCATCTCCAGTATGCTGTTAAGCCCTGGCCAGGGAATTTTTCATTTCAGATATTGTCTTTTTCACTTCTATCATTTCCATTTACTTTTATTATAATTTTCTGTTTTTGTGATGATATTTCCTATGTGTTCATTAATGATGAGCAAATTGTCCTTTACCTTCTTAACAGAATAACTCAGATACTTAATGGTTACATTATTAAATGAAAAGGTTGAAGAATAGTTACCAGTTCAGTTATTTATTAAAAAAAAAGAAGTGTGTGAAAAAGTATGTATCAGTATGTTTATGTGAACATAGAAGTCTGTATTGTTATTTACCATGGCCAGTGGGGGCAAGATTGGAGAGAGTGGGGAAAGGGGTTTCTGGCAATTTTTCTTTCTATTTGGCCTTATTTTTAAATGATAGAAGTGTAGATAACTTTAAAGAATTATGTATGTATTTTTTAATTTTTAAAATACTTTTGTCAATTTTATAAATGTTTCACACACAGAGAGAAGTATGTGTTTTTTTTTCTGGGGAAGAAATTGTCTATTTCTTTCAGTTTTATTAAATTTAAAAGAGAGCCTTACAATTAATTCTTAGAATCAAGAGACCATAGCATATATGATAGAAATTTTTCCTATTTTTCAAGTTGTTTGTGTCTTATTTTCGATCTGCTAGGAAGAGTCATATTTTTAGCATTTCTCCATATATTTCTAAGTTTTTGTCTTATATTGCACTTCAGTATACTCAGGCATATGAAGGTTCATGATAATAGCGTCTCATTCATTAATGACGTTTTTAACATTAGAGATCTCTTTGTTCCATGTGATATTCCTTTGACTTTTTCTTTGTTTCTTGTTAGTCTTAGCACTCACTTTCTTGTTTATTTTTTTGTTATGGTATTTCTGTGTTCACTCTTTTATTTTTTAAATAAAAATAATGTGATTTGGGTGCTTTGTAGCTGGTATTACACTTTATGCCAAACCAAGAGTTGTTGTCTTTTAATAGGGACTTTGCTGTAACAACTGATGAGTTTCATGGACTTACTTGGGGGCTGACTTTGAGGCAGCTCTGTAGGTCCTTGAGTACAGTGATAGGAAAGAAGGTCAGGCCAAAGGAAGTCAAGTCTGTCATAGTCACCTTGGCCTCCCAGAAGAAAACACCACAGACTGCGTGGGCTAAATGATAGAAGTTTATTATCTTGCAGCTCTGGAGGCTGACGGTTCTCGTAGGTTTTGGATAATCAAGGTGTCGGCAGGTTCAGTGGCTCACGGGCCTCTCTTTTGGGCTTGCAGATGGCCGCCTTCTCCTGTGTCCTCACATGGCCTTTTCTCTGTGTGCATCTGCTGTCTCCTCCTCCTCTTATAAGGACACCAGTCATATTGAATTAAGGTCCCACCCTTATGACCTTTCTTAACCTTAATTACCTCTTTAAAGGCCCTATCTCTAAATACGTTGGCATTCTACGTAGGATGGAATAATTCTGGAATGTAGATGTGTACACAGTTGGTTTTTAAAAGCTGAGTGTTGATCTAAGATCTGACACTGATCAAAGAAAGAGTGTTCAAGTAGGTCTAGTAAGATCTGTACCTGGTTTCTCAAATTGTGTGGTCATTTATTGCCTTAGGCTGACTAGAACCAGTTGTGATGGAACAACTCATTCAGTGTTGACATCTTTGACACAAGAGATACTATAAGAAGACAATGTTTCTTTTCCACTGATTTCTGGGGAAATTTTTATTTAGCTTAATTATGGAAATTAATAGGGCTTGGATTGGTCAGGGGCACCAAGAGGGAGCTTCTTTTAAGTCACTGGAGGCGTAGACTGTGTTTGTGTTGCCCATTGCTGAAAGCCTACTGCCTTGTAGAAATTCTGGCACGAAGAAATCCTGTAATAAATACTTCCTAGTGGGTAGGGAAACGCCAGCTGGGCTGTCTCACACATGATCTCTCTAGCCGCTCTGACGCTGCTTCCTACACTAGGGGTTCTCCAGTCTGAATGACTGCTTGCTCCCTCCATCCCTGTCCTCACAGGGACATAGGGAAAGACGTAACGGCATTTCCACATGGGTCCTCTGGTTAGGTATCTGTCAGTCAAAGAAAATACTTGTGGACACGGCTGATACCAGTGTAGGTGGTTGTGAGTTGGAAGATAATTGTAGTGGGGGGGGGGGGACTGTTGCATATTGGCCCTATTTACAGAGCCAAAACTGCCTGTGGTGCTTTTATAGTCTGAAACATAGAATAGATCTTAGGAGTGGGTTTTCTGGATTGTAATGGAAGATGTGATGGGCTGTAAAAGTGGGTCATATAAAGGAAGTCTTGACTGGGTAGCCCTTAAACCTGAGGCATTTTAAAGAACAGGGAATTGAGTCTCGCTATTAGACCAGGCGGAAGTGCTTGGGCTGCCCCACCAAATCTCAGTTCTGACTCACACTTTGTCTCTGCAGCAGAAGCAAAGCCAGAACTCCACCTCTGTCCCTTCTGCCCTCCGGATTTCTCCAGTCAGAAAGTCCACATGCAGCGCGTGCTGTGTAATCATCCCCCCTGGATCTTCACATGCTCATGTCCAGAAGATCACGTCCAGCCAGGGGATCCGTGCCCGGGGGACCAGAAGGAGCAGCCACAAGCCTCTGGTCAAAGTTCCTGGAGTGATAGAGCAGAAGGTCAAGAGAGAGAAAGTACCAAACCTTTGTTTGGAAAGACGAAGAAAAGGACTTTAGGAGCATTGTCCAGGCCACCCCAAAGGCAGCCAGTCAGCTCTAGGAACGGCGTCAGAGGCGTGGAGATAGAGGCCAGCCCAGCTCAGACGGGGAGCCCCGAGGAAACAGACACATTGTTGAAGAGGATAGAAGTCTTAGGGTTTGGAACAGTCAATTGTGGAGAGTGTGGACTCGGCTTCAGCAAGATGACAAACCTGCTCAGTCACCAGAGGATACACTCGGGGGAGAAGCCTTATGTGTGCGGGGTGTGTGAGAAGGGTTTTAGTCTCAAGAAGAGCCTTGCCAGACACCAGAAGGCCCACTCGGGGGAGAAGCCTATTGTGTGCAGGGAATGTGGACGAGGATTTAACCGGAAGTCAACACTCATCATACACGAGAGGACACACTCAGGCGAAAAGCCTTATATGTGCAGTGAGTGTGGGCGAGGCTTTAGTCAGAAGTCAAACCTCATCATACACCAGAGGACACACTCGGGGGAGAAGCCCTATGTGTGCCGGGAGTGTGGGAAAGGCTTCAGCCAGAAGTCAGCTGTCGTTAGACACCAGCGGACACACTTAGAGGAGAAGACCATCGTGTGCAGCGATTGTGGACTAGGCTTCAGTGATAGGTCGAACCTCATCTCACACCAGAGAACGCACTCGGGAGAGAAACCTTATGCCTGCAAGGAGTGTGGGCGATGCTTTAGGCAGAGGACCACGCTTGTCAACCACCAGAGGACACACTCAAAGGAGAAGCCTTATGTGTGTGGAGTGTGTGGGCACAGCTTTAGCCAGAATTCAACCCTCATCTCACACAGGCGGACACACACTGGGGAGAAGCCTTATGTGTGTGGGGTGTGTGGGCGAGGCTTTAGTCTGAAGTCACACCTCAACAGACACCAGAACATACACTCAGGGGATAAGCCCATTGTGTGCAAGGACTGTGGGCGAGGCTTCAGCCAGCAATCAAATCTCATCAGACACCAGAGGACACACTCAGGGGAAAAGCCTATGGTGTGTGAGGAGTGCGGGCGAGGCTTCAGCCAGAAGTCAAACCTCATTGCACACCAGAGGACACACTCAGGGGAAAAGCCGTATGTGTGCAGGGAGTGTGGGCGAGGCTTCAGCCACCAGGCGGGTCTCATCAGGCACAAGAGGAAACACTCGAGGGAGAAGCCTTACACATGCAGGCAGTGTGGGCTAGGCTTTAGCAATAAGTCGGCCCTAATCACACACAAATGGGCACACTCAGAAGAGAAGCTGTGTGTGTGCAGAGAGTGCGGCCAAGGCTTTATCCAAAAGTCACACCTCGTCCTACATCAGATGACACACCAGGGGGAGAAGCTTTACGTGTGCAAGACGTGTGGGCAAGGCTTCAGCCAGAAGTCTCACCTCAGTAGACACAGGAGGATGAAATCTGTCCACCAGAGACCACCACCCCACCCGGCCTCTGAGGCCTGTTCCGGACAATCGTCTGACCCCTTACACTCTCTTTGAAAGTGAAGATGGCGGTGAGGACTAAATAATCACAATTTTTACACTTTCATGAAATGGAGTAGAAAAATGCATTCCGTAAGTGATCAAAGGACATTTGACCTAGTTTACTTTCTTCACACTAAGTCTTCATGTTTTGTGGCCTTTTGTTCCAATAAACTTCGCTTCTTTACAAATCTGTAAGCTTGATTGTATACCTCATTCACTCGTCTGTAAAGGTCGGGAATAAGGAGTGGGACAGATATCTTGAACTCCTAAGCCCACAGTTCCACAAGAATTCAATTCCTCGGAAGATAAAAGAACTGAGTCACTCCTGTATTTGTTGGAAAGTCTGGTCATTTGTATAGGGAGAGAATCTAGGAACTGTATTCAGGGATTTTAGGTGAGGGGAGGGAATCTTCCAGAAGTTACAGCTTCCTCTAGTAATCTGTTCACCTGCAACTACCCTTTTCCCTTGGCTTCTGTGACAGCTCCCTTTCTTGCCTCTCCCCTCCTAGCTCTCAAACATCTATATTGTTGCCTTTGCTGAAGCATCCCCTAGCCACCTTTATTGCTTTTTCTCAGGCTCTAGTCCCTGATGCTCCCATCTTTGAGCCCCCTTAACAAGACATTGTCCCCAGCACTCCAGCTCCAGGGCCTGGTCCTTCAGCTATGACCAAGCAATTATCTAGTCTCAGAAACTTGAGTTTCCAATTGCACCCATATCAGACCACCAAGAACATGGACGATACACAGCTGCCCCCAGCTACACCACTTCATCAGCATTCCAATAATATAATGACCTGTAACCATATTCTCTCCTCAGCCTCCAATAACAGGGATATTGGACTCTTGAAGCCATACTCCCAGATCATACCAGGGTTTAGAACTTTCAGTTGTACTCCTTAGGACTCTATCCCAGGACCCAGGACCCCTGGAAGCCATCCAATAACTGTTCTAAGATCCCTTAGCCGTACACCCTGGATAGTTCTCCAATCACAAGGGTGAAGATATTTAGCTGTATTTAAAGATTCTTAAAGCTCCCCCATTGTGTTCCAGTCCAAAGTGGTTTTGCTCAAAACAAGTGGCCTTTAAGGTAAAGATCATCTCAAGGGTGTAGCTGTAAGACCCTTTTTATAAGACTTAAGAAAATTTAAGCGTGCAGCTTCTAGACCCTCTCAACTACACAAAATGGTTTCTATGCATTTTAAGGGTATCATCCCACAGCACCCTGATATTCAACCCATACCAGAGAGGGACTCGAAGAGCTTTGTAGATGTGGTTTCATCTACTGAAGTGAACTTCAATAAGAAGCATAGGAAACTCATGAGATTTTAATAGAGACACCAGCTTGGCCTGAAAAGGACAGAAAAATCCAGTCTATGGGCAGGGAGCCAAGCTGAGAAATCTACTAAGGTGCAAACATTGGCCATTTCTTATAGAAAAGGAAGAATAACTTGGAGTGCAGACACACAAGCCATAGAGAATCTCTCAGGGGGCAGTCCTGGGCACTACTCAAGGGACTGTGATGTGTGCCCAGCTGAATTTCAGAATTTTTATGAACCAGTGCCTGTTAGGGGTCTGCTATTTCTCCATTTTTTTTAAATGGGAGTAACTATTGTGGTTATCCTATCTCTGAATCAACGTTGAATGTTAGATATGCTTTAGTTCGAAGGTCCTCAAATAAAGCATCGTCTGTACCTTGACATGCTTTAGATAACAAGATCCTGAACTTTGAGCCAGTGCCATAAAGGGATAAGACTTTGGGGGTCTTAGTGATGAGTGAGTATTTCACATGGGATAGACATGAAGGTTGGTGTTCCGAGAGCGGACTGTGGAGATAGCCTCCAAGATAGACATCAATTCCTTCCTGTAAATATCATGAATCTGGGCTTACTGACTTGTCCCCCATATGGACAAGAAACATGATTTTTAAAATTCTATTTCAATTTTTAAAATTCAATTTCATGTAAATATTGGGGACATAAGTCATATGCCAGATATTTGTTCCCAGATACCCTGGAAAAGGGATCATTTCATCCAAATCTGGTCAAATTTGGGGGCTAATTGGAACTAGGTGCTACACCAGATTCTCTTCGAAAATATGCATACGATGTGATTTCTTATCCAAATTCATGCAAATCTTGGGACATTTTAGACATGTCTTATGCAAGACTTTTCTTCCAAGTGAACTAGAAATGTGAGTTTTCAAATTGGTTAAGATAGTGAAATTTTTTAGACATAATTCTTACGCCACATTTTCTTCCAGAATGGCCTAAAAATGTGATATTTCATCCAAACGTCCTCAACTTGTGGATTTTGGGGGTAAGCCCTGTTCCAGATTGTTCTTTGTAAATGACCATAAAATATTATTTTGTGTTAAAATTTACTAATATTGTGAGATTTAGTAGACATAAATCCGGTGTCAGATTTTCTTCCAAAGTGACCCCCAAACATGGTATTTTTTTAAGTCCAAATTCACGCCAAAGTGCAATTTTTTTAACGTAAGTCCTATGCCAGCTTTTTCTTCCAAAAAGTGGATTTCTTTGGATGTAAGTCCCATGCAATTGTTTTTTTCTTCCAAAATGGTTCAGAAAGATGGCGATGCCTTTTCATCCAAATTTGCCTCAAATTTACTTTTGGACATTATCATTTGCCATGTTTTTCTCCAAAGTGATGTGAAACAAAATATTTTATCCAAATTTGCTAAATCTTGAAAGATTTTGGATATGAATTATTTACCATAATTTTTTCCCAAAATGGCACAGAAATGTGGGTTTTTAAATCTAAAACCTTTCACATTATGGAGTTTTCTTTGACAAGTCTTAAGGCAATTTTTTCTTCAAAATGGCCCAGAAATATGATTTTTCATTCAAATTGGTTCAAATTCTAGATTATTTTGGATATAAATCCTATGCCAGATTATTTCTTCAAAATGACCTGGAAATATTTCTTTTTCCATCTAAATTCTCATAGATCATAGATTTCTGGGGTTTTTGTTGTTGTTTGATAGTTTTCAAGTCTGGGCAAAGTGAATTACTGTTGAGATCAGGATAGGTACTGGTGAAAAAAAATGTATACACAAATCTGTCCCAATATAAATGGTTCTCAGTATCTGAAAATGTCTTTACTGAGGGAGTTAATCTGAAAATGTGTGATGCTGAACATCTTCTATTCCAATGAGAGTCCTTAGTATGCTATTTACACATAATATCTGTTCCTTGCCTTGAGGCTAGAGTCTCTTTTATTTTCTGGAGGCTGGTGTTTTGTTTTGTTTTGTTTTGTTTTTGTTTTTGTTTTTCATCACATTTCTTCAACAGCATTGAACACTTAGTTTATGAAAAGACTTATATACTAAAAATTTTCTGAGAGTCTCTGGTTCTGAATTTTTTATTTGTGTGACTTTTGTTTTTAAGGAAATGACACACTTCTAATTGCTGAGGGTAAAGCTTAGCCATATGGGAGTGATGTCACTGAAAATGGCAGAGTAGGGAGCTCCAAAACTCTGCCCCTCCACAAAAGCAAAGAATAAGCTAGCAAAAACTGTATGAATCAACTGTTTCAGAACTCTGAATCTATTTTTTTAAAAAACTTAGAACAAGCAGGGGAATGCTAACTGAAGAAGGAGGCTGCTGAATTTTGGTAAGACAGTGCTGTGGCAGTCTATCTTATCTGTGTAACATCTTCTACCCACAGCTGAGTAGCAGCCATGAAGACTGCAGCCCACATTCTGGGTCCAGGTTTTTGTACCAGAGGGAGCAATGTGGACCTTATTCCCCAGGCACTGTGGTGGTGTGTTTTAATCTGTCTGGTGACTCCCTGAAGGACTGGCTCAAGGGCTTCACCTGACTTGGACTTTCCCCAGGGCAGAAGCAGTTTCTCAGGTGGCACTTACTGAAAGCATTCAAAGGCAAATGTGTTAGCCTCAGCCACCTGAGGCAAGGGACTACAGAGGGAAAAGCAACAGAGAGCCAGAACAGCCTAAGAAGGAAGAGGTTAGCGAAGGAGATACTTGGGGGAATGAGGGCTTTGAAAAGCCTACACATTTACCAAGAATCTAGAAGGCCACATGCATGCCCAGGGCTGGACATCTGCTCAGAAAAGACCTGAGGAGACCCTAATCTTTCACCTCTGGCTGACTTTTAGGCTCCACACAAGGAAGAAGTAAAGGCTCAGGCAGAATTTTAAGCAGCCTGGCTAAAGCACTGAAGGAGGGTCTTACACAGAGCCAACGTGCAAAGACTGGGAGAGTAGTTTGTATTTTTGGCTCCAGGTATTTAAGGAAATCTCTGTCAAATGACTAGCTGTTCACTAAGCTAACAGAAGAGAGACTTCAATGGCTACACATGACAAAGAATACAGTCTTTGCCAAAATGGATTAGAAAAGTCACTAAACAAACAACCCAAAAGAAGCAGCAACAACAAGCCTTGGGGTGGGGGCAAAATCTGATTTCTAGAGTTGCCACATTACATTATCCAAAATTTCCAGTTTTCAACAAAAAATTATGAAACATGCAAAGAAACAAGAAGTTATGAGCCATTCACAGGGAAATAAGAAATTTATAACTGTCCCTGAGGAATCCTAGACTTTGGACTTACTAGACCAAGAATTTAAATCAGTCGTCTTTAAAAATGTTCAAAGAGCTAAAGGAAACCTAAACAAAGAACTCAAGGAAACCAGGAGAATGATATGTCACCAAATAGAGAGTATCAATAAAGATATAGAAATTATAAGAAGGAATCTAATAGAAATTACAGAGCTGAAAAATACAATAACTGAAATAAAAAATTTAACTAGAGAGATTCAACAGCAGAAGAAAGGACCAACAAACTTGAACATAGGTCAATTGAAATTATCCAGTATGAGAAGCAGAAAGGAAGAAGAGTGAGAGAAAATGAACAGAATCTCAGAGAACTATGGGACACCATCAAGCCTAACAATGTACACATAATGGGAGTCCCAGAATGATAAGAGTGAGAGAGGCAGAAAAAATATTAGAAGAAACAATGATGCAAAGCCTCTGAAATTTGATGAAAGACATGAATTTACACATCCAACAAGCTCAATAAAGTTAAAGTAGGATAAATTCAAAGACATCCACACCATGACACATTATAGTCAAATTATCCAAAGAAAAACACAAAATCTTGAAAGAACAAGAGAAAAAAGACTTGTCACATACAAGAGATCCTCAGTAAGATTA